AAGTCAAAATAGTGCTTATTAGATCCTTATAACTTCAGTACAAGTATTTTTTATTGATTTTTAGCCAATAACTGTTTTTCACTTTCATTTGTCTTAGTGTGATGTAATTGTTATACCTCAGTTTTTGAGAAGTGGCAAACTAGTAATCTAAACATGTTATGCTTTTTTTTTTCAATTGTATAAGGCAACGTGGCTTATAGTTCAACAGAAACTCATTTAGGTGTCAGGAAAAAGTGACAAAAGCTTAATGATACATTTCTGATAGAAAACGTGTTTATGAACAGCTTTGCCACAATTACAGTCCTGTTTGTTTTTTTCCTTAGAACTTGCAAAATGCTTCCTTTATCACTTTAATACTTCCTTTAAATTATTAAATTACATGAAAATATGAAAAGATAAGGTAGGCTTAATTAGATAATTTTGCACTTGACTGTGTGAAGTTTTATTTTGCCAACAAGACTGCTGTTTTTTAAGCCATGCTGAAGTTGGACCTTATCGCCCCAAGCAACCTTTTAAATGGACAAAGAAATCACCAAAATGAAATATTTAAATGAATGTAAAATAAATTTAAAACTTGTTACATTTATTAACTGAAGCCTTATGATTAACAATTTTAAAATTTGGTTATAATTTTGATACAGTGAAAAATTATTTTTTAATGGTCATAAACACATTAAAACTGTGCATGGGGTTTTAAGTTCAAAATTAAGTTAACATTTACAATTTTATAAAATAACTTTACAGGAAAGTTTTACAAAAATGTAAAGATAAGCATTTTTAATGGCATCTTAAGAAGAACTTATCACTATAAATATAAGATATTTGCAGAAGAGACATAATCTATAGAAAGTAAATTTCTAGGCTCAAACTATTCCATCCAGTAGTGTTTTGCAATGCAATAAAGCAAGCTATACAACATATGTATTGAATTGATGCACCTGGGTTTTTTAGAATTAAAGAGCAAGAACATTAATAATTTATGCTTGCAATTTTATGTGTAAAATGGTTTTTAGATATTTGGAAAAAATCTGGATGAAATTGAAAGTTTTAAGTGTCTAATTTCTTATTCCAAATGCAACTAATACTCAGCTGATAAGAAAGACTGTTTTATACTTACATTTTTAGCCAATCTTTTGAAATGTACATTTTTATTTCATCCAATACCCACATTACTCGAAAGTTTATCAATATATTGGTCAATATATATTTTAATAATTAGTTTTATTATCAGTTGCATTTATTTTTTAAATATATTGAAGAAATAAGAATTGCTACTTCATGCATTTCTATCTGCAAATTTTCAATTTTTTAAGGATCATTTTTTAATATATGTTGCTGTTTGTCACTGAATAGTTCTTTTAATTGTATATATATACGAAGGTTGACATGCTGCTAACATTATTGATTTTGTGCCATAATGACTTCAAGCTTGTTACTTATGGCAACCTGTTGTTGGTAGTTTATTATTACCTTCACCACCTATACTGTACCTGTGACAACATGTAGATGATGTAGTTTTATTCTTCTTGATTTTATTAAATTTCAAGTAATGTAAGTGTATCAGCAGTGGTTGTTACTACATTACTTGGCTGGAGCTGCTCTTGAGTAACTTAAACTTGCAAGAATGTTTCAATATCATAATCTCATAAAGAAATGCTTTTAGTAATCTGTGTATTTCATAATATATTTGTTTAATTTCTATATTTTCTTGCAAGTCTTTAGTTCACAAAAACAAAATTTGTACACTACATTATTTATAACATCTTATTTTATATAATAAATTATCATGATATAAATAGGTATAAGATATAAAACATTTTATTCTGCCATAGTTAAAAGTAGATAACATATAATGCACATATAAAACTAACTAAAAATAAGCATGACTAGATATAAGACAGCATAATCCAAAGAACACTAGACCTAATAAGCCAAACAGATGATTTGGCAATAAGAAAAGTCAAAGTAAACTTTGGAAGAAAGTCTAACACAGAACAAAGTATTTCTATTTGCTTATGTAATGTAAATCGTTGTAATGTCTAATTAGAACATGTATTTTGTGTTTTAAAGAATAATCATGTATCAAGTGTCTCACATAATAAAGACACAGTCTTTATTCAAAGACACACTCTTTATTTACATTGGCACAAGACAATTAGAAAATATCTTATATGGATTGAAAGGCTGTTGTCTAAACTCTAAGTAACTTTAAAATTGAAATACAAATGAATTTCAAGTTAATCATAGGATTTTGGATATGCTAAATGTACTACCTGAAACTGCTTAAAAACAATTAAGACATAATAATGCTTAGCAAATTGATAAAACTTTTGTTTCAAAAAATACCTAACCTGATACTTGGAAATTTCTTATTCTGATTAAAGCCAAATTCAGACTAGTGAGCAACCATACAATATCCCACAGTATATAACTATAGTTTTCTTTCTTGAAGTTTTCTCCTGGACCAATTGTGAAATGGAAGTACAAGATAAATGACAAAAACCTCACTAATTTCTCTTCTACCACTATAGGATAGATTATTAACAATTATATATGCAGAAGCTCACAGCACTTATGAAACCAAACTTATGTGTGTGTATATATACACTGTCAAACTGGAAGAATTGGCTATTTATTCTATGTCAAAATAAGACTTCACAGTTAACAAAAGGCTTAATTGTTAGATTCAAATGAAAATAATTTGTAATAACCTGTACAAATTAGAAACTAACTAATTTGCCTCTTTACTTATTCATGTAAGACAGAAAGCAAATTACCTGATAAGCTAGATTAGCTATGAATTCTTAATCAACAGCTGTATGTTAGTTAGCAGTCTAATGGTGTTTCTTTACACCTCCTGACCAAGTAGAGCCCAGCAGTTAGTGTGCTGGACTGTGGATTGGAGATGCTGTGGTTTTCACTGCATTACTGTCTCAAAAAAAAAAATATAGTTCTGCACTTTGGGGCCATGAGTGTGTTAAATTCCACTATTTGATTAGAGTAGCCTACAACTTGGCAATGTGTGGCGTAACTAGCCCTTGAATAGCTATATTTCAAAATCAACAAAACAGACAAATCTAACTATGCATTTATGTATGAATATCATAACTATTCAAATGGTGTGTTTTAATTGTACTTCAGAAAACAGGTAGTATTTCCTTCTAAACATTTTTTAGTAGTTTAGCCTACGAAGACAAATAAAGAACAGCATTCTTCTAGAAACTGACATCACAAGAACAGTGTTATTAAAAGTGTAATTAATAATATTACTACTTGCTGATTTATGTATATTTCCTGACTGTTTGTCATATTAAATCATTTATTTTGAAACTACATTATGGGAATATGTTGGTATTAATAAAAAGTTATCATAGTAACTGTATTTGTTTAGACAACGAAGTACCGTCGAAACATGTCACTACAAATAAATTTTGCAGAACAATTTTCTGTTTTATATTAATACTTCATTTTTCATAATGTGACATTTTAAACAGGTTCAGATTGGTCTATTTGTCATTGGATGAAATAGATAATTATTTCACTGTTGTAACTATGTATTACTACTACGCACATATGATACAAATTGTTATACTATAGTATTTGCCAATTTCTTTTGGAAGAGTACTTTTTCAGCTTAAATCTTCTCTACATCCTTCATAGAGAATTTTTCAGTCAGACTACTCTGATTATGGGTAAAAATATTATTAATAGTGAGGGTCCAAACTGACAAAACTATGCATTCTTATCTTTATAAGTAAAATTGTAATAACATTATATTTAGATAAGTATATTTACTACTGAGTTTATTTTGAGTTTTGATGTAAGTATTAATTTACAAGTAAGAATATACGAACAGCATGTTTAATTAGCTATGCTCATTACTGGATTAACTTTTAGTTCTAATCTGTGTACGTAAGAATTATTAATTATAAATTTTCTTTATACCAGAAATAGACTTCTAAAAATAAACTGTAACATTGGATAATAACTTTGAATGGTTTCACTGAAAATTAATAGTCTTATTATAATTTCACACAGATATAGAAAGAGATTAAGAATAAAAATTAAAATTAAATTCTTAAGTTTTAGCAAAAGTGAATCTTAGTAACAGTGTATACATTTGAATTGTAGATATTACAATTGTATAAATTCCTACCTCACTGAAAGTTACAGCTTTCTCAGAAATAGAATCATTATCTTCAGACAATAAATACTACTGAGTTTGTTCCATAAAACACTGTACTACTTTAGTACATGCAGTCAGTTCATTAGAGTAAAGGAAGGAGTTACTGAAAGAAAACGTGCATGTATCCGTACCTATGAAACGTGTGTTGTTATATTTTGTTGTGCAGACTACTGATTTATGTTGTTTCATTGATTGTATACCATGTGGAATTACTGGGTTGATCTAAAAACAGTTGCATTAAAACTGCAGTCATTTTTTCACATTTAGAATTCCTTGTTTTGGTCTTCTTGCTAATTCTGAAGAAATGTTTTGTTTACAATAATTATAAGTACAGTTCTATGATATTTCAGTACAATTCAGTGCTCAGTTTTGTTCAGACTTTTTTTTTGTATTCATTTATACTTCTTTGAATATGTTTTTTGTTCTTTTGATGCATTTAAAAGTATAGCAAAAATTTCATGGACTGTTGTATTTAGTAGCACTGCAAAAAATGATGTTCACATAAATCTTACAGTAGCTTTCATAAGGGTGACAAAGTTTCATCAAATTGATATTGTAAGCCATGCTCTTAGATTTTGATGTTTCAGAACTTGACGCACATATATTAGAATATGTGAGTGTGTGTGTG